AGCAATGCAAGCAGCTATTTAACATCTGCAAGCAGTTTAGCAAGAGCGTACAGTATTGTGATACGGCAGATATCTGATCTGATGGGTCTGATTCCCAAGTACAATCATTTAGTATACTCCCAGATCCCAGCTGCAGTGAAGCTGACTTATCAAGATGCAGTTAACTTGCAGGTAAGAACACCCAAATCTCTGTAAAGAAATGTCATTTCAATACAGTTGGGTTTTTAAAGTAAAATTATAGAATTGTTTAAGTTAAATGTGACCTCTGATGATTGTCTAGTCCAGATTCCCTGCAGGGTCAATAGGAGAAGGCTGCTCAGGACTGTGTCTAGTTAGATTTTGCATATCTCCGAGGATGGAGACTCCACAACTGCTCTGGGCAACCTGTTAAGTGTTTGACAACTATTATAGTAAAAAAGTTTTTCTTGAGTTTAAAGGGACTTTCCAGGTATTTCAACTTGCGCCTATTGCCTCTTGTCCATTCATCAGATATCACTGAGAACTTTTTACCTCTCTATAAGGTATTTATACACACTGATAAAGATCTTCCTGAGTTTGTTTCTTGAGTCTAAACTGTCACAGCTCTCTGAGCCTCTCCTCATATGAGAGATAATGTCAGCTGAAGTAGCTGTATTTACAAATTCCATTAAATTGTTCATATTTCTTATACATATATTCTTTCAAAAAAAGAAATTTCAGCTGTGGGGTGTTTTTTTTTTCCTCAACTAAGTCTGACTGGTATCTAATTAATAGTTAGGATTGACTGCTTTGGAGATACTATCAAGTCTTATGAGGAGCAGCTGAGGGAACTGGGGTTGTTTAGCCTGGAGAAAAGGAGGCTGAAGGGAGACCTGATTGCTCTCTACAACTACCTGAAAGGAGGTTGTAGCCAGGTGGGTGTTGGTCTCTTCTCCCAAGTAACAAGCAATAGAACAAGAGGAAATGGTCTCAAGTTGCCCTAAGGGAGGTTTAGATTGGATATTAGGAAAAATGTCTTCACCAAAAGGGTTGTCAAGCACTGGAAGAGGCTGCCCAGGGAAGTGGTTGAGTCACCATTGCTGGAGGTATTTGAAAGACGTGTAGATGTGGTGCTTAAGGACATGGTTTAGTGGTTGGACTTGGCAGTGCTGGGTTAATGGTTGGACTTGATGATCTTAAAGGTTTTTTACAACCAAAATGATTCTATGATTCTACTAGAGATCTTTTGCCCTGTTCTTTTTTATGTGAACTGTTGAGTCTATAAAAGAAGAAAGTTAATAAGGGCCAAATAATTAAATGAGATAAAAGATTTGTACAGGTAAATGTACTGTTCACTGTCCCTTCTTTCAAGGACATGATCATCCTTTCCGTGTTATGTGCGTATTTTTTGGTACTCTTGACTGTCATTTTTTTAAAGTATACGTAAAATGCATCTTTAGAGAAAATACATGAAAGGGAAGGCTGGTATCCGCCATGTATAGGCAGAAGTTTCAGAGACTAACACCACAGGCGGAACTACAGTGTGTTCAGAAAGTTTATATCAACTTGCATGTGGGCATAGTGTATAGTGAAATCATCTGTACTGAATTTAGTACAAAAATCAACTTTCAGAATAATACCACTGGATTGGGGAACCCAAGAAATCAAGTGATGCTGTTTTCTGTTAGTAGTACTGTGTGCTGGGATGTAAAAAACAGATGACAATATATTTACTTGTAATAGAGCCACAAAGTATTTGTATGGCACTGTTTTCACAGTATGATGGAAGAAAAAGGCTTCTGATTTGGGAAAGAAATGTTACAAAGATATTCTGGGATCAAACACTGCGGGAAATATGCAGGGAAAGAAATAAGAGAACATAGCTTTATTCTGGAGGAGGCTAAAATCAGTTTCTGTTCAGGAGATTCTTAGTGGGAAAATATTGTCTCTGCTGAGTAAAGATGTTTTGCAAGAGTTACCTTTTTGCCAGATGAGTGCACAGGAGAGGTGTCCAGCTGAGGTAGCAAGAGACTTGTATTAGCATGTGAAAGCTTGACAGCAGAGGTTTCATTTAGATAAAGAAACGGGGTTGAGACAGCACTTTGTTAGTTTAGTGGATACAAGAACATTTGAATTGTGAGGGATGTTTTTGAAGACTAGAATGTAGAGGAATGAGGAAAGCAGACTGATGTTGGATACAAAAAAAACCACCCCATCTGGTCAATGGAGTTAGCAAATGGCAAGAAAAGCAGGCTCCAGAGCCACTATTGGGAACAGGTGAGGAAAAGACTGGACGAAGAGGAGAGGTTTGCATGCAGACATAGTTCTCTGTGCAGGTCTTAACTTTGTCGTCTTCACTGAATAAGTTGCAAGGGGTGAAGAATGGTGAAAGATCTGGCTGGTGAATGCCATAGCAGGATGAGGGCTGTTAAAGCTACTAGAAAGTCAGGAATTGCACCAAAATCCCCAAGACATCTCGGGGTACTTGGGAGATGCTGGGTGGTCATAAGGTGAGGAGTAGAAGAGATGCCCAAAAGAGAGAGAGGAAAGGTGAGAATGCTTTACAGACACCAAGGTATTAAGTAATGAGAGCTGCGTACCACTACTAGTAAATCAGTAGTCTCAATAGAGCTTTCGGAAACTGTTCATTGCTCATTCTTGAATGGGATTTTACAGCCGCTTTGTTTGTAGGGAATCAGGTGTTACTGTAGAAGCCATGGTGGAGGCTTATGTTGAGATTGCATTCTCATCATCTAGTTCTATTGTTTGCAAAACTCATTAAATCTCATTTTGTATAGAATTATGTAGAAGAAAAGCTTATTCCTACTTGGAATTGGATGGTTAGTATCATGGACTCTACTGAAGCTCAGCTGCGCTATGGTTCTGCATTGGCATCTGCTGGTGATCCTGGGCATCCAAATCATCCTCTCCACGCTTCTCAGAACTCAGCCAGAAGGGAAAGGATGACAGCCCGTGAGGAAGCCAGCTTAAGAACACTTGAGGGAAGAAGGTATGAAAATAGTTTGATTACTGCATGTGATATGAATTATCAATTTTACAGTCAAATCTTGTTCACTGACATTTTAGGAATCTAATTTTGTAATGCAGCAGTGTAGTTACTCTTCTGATTAAATTTGGCTTCCTGTGTTGTTGCTACTATTTGGTTTATTCTGACGTACTAGATTCATTTTGAGTATTAACTGTTTATAATATACTGCACCTGAGCTGCTTATAGTAAAGCATAAAACTACTATTGTTGCTCTTATTATCACACTGGTTTTGTGGGTTTTTTTAATTGATTTTTACATATTTCAAATATAGAGACTAATATGCAAAAGATGCATTCTACTGTGATGCCTAATCTTTCTGTATTTGATCCTTTTCTTTCACTAGACGTGCTACTTTACTCAGTGCCCGTCAGGGAATGATGTCAGCACGTGGTGATTTTCTCAACTACGCACTGTCTTTGATGCGTTCTCACAATGATGAGCACTCAGATGTTCTTCCTGTTTTAGATGTCTGTTCGCTAAAGCACGTAGCATACGTTTTTCAAGCCCTTATTTATTGGATTAAAGCAATGAATCAACAGACAACATTGGATACTCCTCAGCTGGAACGGAAAAGGTATCAAGGCTGACTCGTAGAAACAAAAACTTTTGCAAAAGTGGCATGTGCCCCTTTTGTTTCAGTCATCGGCATTGCTACTCAGCAACTCATATAAATATATACATATATCTATATATCTATGTGTGTAGTAACATGCATATTATAAAAAGAATATATATAATGGTATATGATGTATGTATGTTTGATTGATAAGCCTATTGCAATATACTGTTCAAATCTGTTTATGCTGATTGCTGTAAAAGGTTTTCTTACCACTGAAGCTTTGATTTTTAACTCCATGGCAGTGCCTCTAAAAGATGTACTTAGGACAATTTCTTGAAAAACGCAATCTGCTCCTCACATTTAACACGACAACAACTTATTTAGAATTTTATCAAAGTCTGGTATGATGGGCTCAGTAGTTCTATTTTCCATTTGGTTCTGAATATTTGAGACTTACCTGATGATTTAAAAAACAGTATGGAAATCAATAGCTGAAAATGTCCTTAAGTTGAAAACCTCTGCTACCTCAACTAGAGCATTTTACGAGTTGCATTTATTACTTATTTTTAAATGTCATAAGATTATTTTTTAAAAAATAATGTTCTTTGATTTGAAATGGCAATTAATGATCATAGAAATGTCCATATGTTGGTAGTCTATACCATCTGTAGCCATTTCTTACTAAGTTTTGAGGTAATGTACCTAAACAGTCCTAGTCAACAGTTAAATAAATGCAAGTCTTTGCCCCTTCCTGCCCCTAATTTTCAGTATTGCAGGTCAAACTTAACTTTTCCTTTTCTCTACAAATTTAGTAACTGTAAAATATGAGGTATCGATATTTTAGATATATGTTAGACTGCTACTTTAGTTCTGATTTTATGTTCACTATATATTGGTAAGGTAAGGCTTGTTATGACTTCAAAATATATACCAGAGGATGTTGTTGTCAACAGTAGTTTCCTCATAAGTAGGGATGACTTAATACACTAACTGATCAAGTTTTTGTGCTGGCTGACTTGAGTAGTTGGAGCTGTGGCTCTAAGCCTTTTCCAGGCAATAACATACTTCTACTATCTGCTCTGTCCCCAAAAAGTCACATGTAGAAGTCAAATAACTGTTCATCAAAGAATTGCAACATTCCCATGAAATGCTTATAAAAGCATTTATGAAGGCCTTGACCTTTTAAATTAAAGGCGAGTCATTCAAATTCAGTCAGTTGCTTCTGTTAGATGACATTTTAGTAGCCTGTATGAAACAAAATTTTATCAGTCTTCATCTAGTTTCAGAACGTATTTCATAATGCACAAACTGCCAGAAATTAATTCTAATCAAAGTGCTTGATCCTTTCTATAATACAGCGAAATCCATTTCTTTAATGTGCAGCTTTTGCAGAGTTACCTTTTGAAATGTGACCAATGACATTATTTTTATAGGAGTAAGTCTATTCTACACCAGTAAATTTTAGAGTGCTATTCACTTACATGTTTCTTCCACTAATGCCAGGTTCCTAGGTTGTTTATATTGACATAGGCTTTAAAAACAAGCATACCTGCCACTGTCTGAAGCTGTAACTTTTTAGATCAAACTTGGTAGGTGGTCAAACGGCTCTAAGGGTAACTGTGCAAGTAATGTAGTGAGTGAGTATGCAGTGAGAAGTACTCTGCAGTACTTCGATTTTAGAGTGACTTCATTCTTGTTATGTATGTATAGCTCTCAAGTACCCTTACTGATTATACTCTTGCTTTTATTGATTGGTACAGATGTAAATGTTTTGCCTAATGTTTTCTTCAAGAAGATTGACTCTTCTTTTTCTTTTTTTCCCTTTTTTTTTTTTTTTTTAAATAAAAAGAACTCGGGAACTTTTGGAACTGGGTCTTGACAATGAAGATTCAGAACATGAAAATGATGATGACACCAATCAAAGTTAGTATACAGAAACACTTCTATAGTATGCCAAAATGCGATGCTTTTTTAGTGGGTTTTTTTCCCCTTTAGCTAGCTGAGACTTTGAATAAATTTTGCTACTTGCATATATTACATTAAAGCAATGAAAAAATGTCATTTTAAAGTTGGGGTTTAGTAAGATTTTCTTACTATTGTTACTTTACCAAATTTCTTATGCCATTGCCTGCTCTCATTTTGGGGCCTTCTTTTTATCTCCTTTCTCTCTAAACTGCAGAATTTGTTCCCTTACTTATCATTCTACACCATGGCAGAATTTAAAACTTGATTCAGAGTTAAACTGATTTCTTTGATCTGGTGAAACTGCTGCTGAAAACGGTAGAATGTATACTCTATAACAAGTACATACAGTGTAGGAGTGCATGTTCAGTACAGTTAGTTACAGTAAAAAAGAAGAAAAGTGATGACTAAGCAACTTGAAAATATGGGATTTGTGGAAGCATCCTGAGGAAGTGTTAAATTTGCAGAGATGGATTTGCATCCCTGCCTCTCCAGTCAGTTAGCTAAGAGAGAAGCATATTAATTTTTGGTATTTTAAATCCTTTGCTTTGATAACTGTGAAAACTGAATTGAAACCTTCTCTGATATTTAGGTGCTACGCTCAACGACAAAGATGATGACTCCCTCCCAGCAGAGACTGGCCAAAACCATCCATTTTTCAGACGATCAGACTCTATGACATTCCTGGGCTGCATTCCACCCAATCCTTTTGAGGTTCCTCTGGCAGAGGCCATCCCCCTGGCAGATCAACCCCATCTATTACAGGTGACATCAGAGATGGTGTTCTGGAAGCAAACTGCAGTTTGTTTTTTCATTTCTAACTGAAGTATATTATTTACCCAGAATGCTTTTGTTCGTTTTCAGCCAAATGCTCGCAAAGAGGATCTGTTTGGCCGACCAAGTCAGGGGCTGTATTCGTCTTCTGCCAACAGCGGGAAATGCTTAATGGAAGTTACAGTGGATAGAAACTGCCTTGAGGTAGATTTAAAGGTTTTATTATTTTAAATAATAGGGTAATTTAAGCTAGTACCTTCATTCCTTAAAAAGAGACTTCAGTGTTTTCAGAGAGATTTTTAAGTAGCTTTCAGAATGATAATTTAAAAGCCTGTAAGTGTGAAAACTCATACTTTTTATGAAAAGTAGGCTTAAATTTTTTTAAATGTAGGAACTTTGATGATTGCTGATTTATAGCAGATTTCAGGCAGTATTTTTAAAGGCTGCAGTATGATCTTGAGTTAATTTTGAAACAATTATGTAATTATTTGTGATAAAAAGAATTAAATCTCCCTATAGCCCAGTAGAATTGGCTTGCGTACAGACTGAGCATTAAATGGCAAGCATATGAAATACAAATGTAAAGTGGGAAAATAGTTTTTCATATTCGTTGAAATGATTGAGGTTATTGTGTTTTAACAAGTCAATTACAGCGCTCACTTTTGTGTGGTTTAAAAATTACATATGTATGCCCTGAAAAAGTCTTCCAGACTGCTTTGAAAGTGCAGTTAAATTTTACTTCTGCTTCTTTAGGTTCTTCCAACTAAAATGTCTTATGCAGCCAACTTAAAAAATGTTATGAGCATGCAGAATCGGCAAAAGAAGGAAGCGGAGGAACAAAACGTGCCTACAGAAGAATCTGAGAGTTCAAAGCCAGGGCCTTCAGCTCATGATCTTGCAGCACAACTGAAAAGCAGCTTGTTGGCAGAGATAGGATTGACAGAAAGTGAAGGGCCACCTCTCACGTCTTTCAGGTAGTTTGAGTTAAAAATTACTGAATGAAATATAACTGAACTGATAAAAGGATATATGGGACTCTGAAAAGTCTTTTTAAATTAAAATGGGTAGCTTACTTTAAAGAACTTATTTGAAGGCAGAGGCAAAGAAAAAGCAGCAGTGCACAAAATGTGTCTGAAATTTAACTTGGTTTTGCTTGTCTGTCACTTTTCCCCTCCTTCTGTCAGGCCACAGTGTAGCTTCATGGGCATGGTTATATCTCATGACATGTTGCTGGGACGCTGGCGCCTTTCTTTAGAGTTGTTTGGTAGAGTATTCATGGAAGATGTTGGAGCAGAGCCTGGATCGGTATGTATTTCCCAGTGTAAGGACAATTCCTCTTACAACTAAATTGTGAATGTCCCTCATTCTGATTTTTGGGATTTGTTTTTTTCTTTTTTTATTTTAAGATCTTGACTGAATTAGGTGGCTTTGAAGTAAAGGAATCAAAATTCCGCAGGGAGATGGAAAAACTTAGAAACCAGCAATCCAGGGACTTAACGTTGGAGGTAAAAAATGTTAGTTTATCTTCTGAATTTGTTTTTGTTAAAAGTTCAATTATCGCACATTGCAGTAACTTGATAGGGGAAGCTGTATTTCAGTGTCTGTAAGCAGGTGTCTTAAACCTCACTGTGTGAGCTGTGTTGCAATTACTCCCTAGTTTTTTCACAGTCTACTTGGTATTTTCTGAGTCTATGCAGAAGTGTCCAGAAACTTTTTGTGAAGCTGAAATTCTCTCAGTATGATGATTGGGAAAGGAAAGAAAACTTGTTTGTGTTTTTACTAGGTTGATCGAGACAGAGATCTTCTAATTCAGCAGACCATGAGGCAGCTCAACAATCATTTTGGTCGCAGATGTGCTACCACTCCAATGGCTGTACACAGAGTAAAAGTTACTTTTAAGGATGAGCCAGGAGAAGGCAGCGGTGTAGCACGAAGCTTTTATACTGCCATTGCACAGGCTTTTCTGTCAAACGAGAAACTGCCAAATCTAGATTGTATTCAGAATGCCAACAAGGGTACCCATACAAGTAAGTGATACACAGCAGTTAATCTACAGATAATGTTCATAAAAACCCTGGATGCTTTTTTACATTGAAATACTTGGCATTATCTCAGAGATTTCTCTCATTAGCTTAACACGGGAACTATGAAAATTGTGCATGTTACTTCTCTGAGGCAAGGAAATGCCTTTTTTTCTGCTTTCAGAAACAGGAAGCTCTTATTTTTCTTGAAACAAGAGTGCGCGTTAGATGTTCTCAGCTTTTTTGAGCATCTTTCTGTCCAGTAGGTAATAATTGTCAAGATTCTAGCTAGTAAGAGCGCATACATTTTAATATGACCATTCCATCCGGCTTGTCACAAATACATTTTAATGTTTTTGGAAGTACATATAAACTCTTGAAATATTTTGGCATTTCTAAGTTGGTACAAACGCTTGAGGTTCCTTTCGTAAGTTTGGCTGACCCCATATCACTATTTTAAATGAAGTGGTTCTGTCTCATTGATGTCTTTCAAGCTATCTTCCAAAACTCTGTCTTCCTTACACTAAAACTTAGGTAGGAGAGAGAAATATAAAGATGTTTAAGTTTATGAGGTTTTTTTCCTCTTCAGGTCTGATGCAGAGGTTGCGAAATAGGGGGGAGAGAGATCGGGAAAGGGAGCGAGAGAGAGAAATGCGGAGAAGTAGTGGCTTACGAGCTGGTTCTCGGAGAGACAGGGATAGGTAAGTGATATATTTTTAATTTGTTGGAGATACTTTGTCAAATAGAATAATTGCCTTGGTTATCTTCAAGAGAGATACTTTTACTTCCTCAAAGGTGTCTGTCTTTTCAGGAGCAATTTACAGGTTAATTTCTTGAAATTATGCTTACTTTAGCACTGATAAATTATGTCTCAACCATATGCCGTAAATCTCTCCTGCTAAAACAATAATAAAAACTTGTGTAGTAGGATAAAATTGTGAGGTGGTTTAGAAACAACACTGCTGTTGGTGGTGTGTCTGCTGTATCCAAAATACTAGCAGTATTAAAATCTCTGCTTCATTTCGATTCTCTGTTTCTGAATTGTTCTCTCCAAGCAGCTATGAGCAACACTACTATTCCAGCATAAAAGCTAATGCTATTTTGAGTCTGTGTGCAGATGATATGCAATAATCCTCTGGAACTATATTTCCTCTGAAATGAGTACAAACTGCTCTAATTTTCTTAAGGGACTTTAGAAGACAACTTTCCATTGACACACGGCCTTTTAGACCAGCATCGGAAGGAAATCCTAGCGATGACCCTGACCCTCTTCCAGCACACAGACAAGCCCTTGGAGAAAGGCTCTACCCTCGAGTGCAAGCAATGCAACCAGTAAGACTTACCTATCTAACCCACTTAATGATACATTGTTCTTGTCATCTTTAAATTTAAACAATAATTTCCCTGTCCATTATTGTTTAACATAACTGAAAATATTTGAACATGTAAGGCTGTTCTTATATTCTTTGGCATTTTCTTAAGATTTTGTTGCTGTAATTTGTCATTTAGTTTAGGAGGTATCTTGAGATGCATTCTATGTTTAAAATACTAAAATTTTCATAAAACCATATTTGAAAATGAGAGAATTGGAGGAGGAGAGTAAGATATGTCATTCCTTATCCCCAGGCGTTTGCAAGTAAAATCACGGGAATGTTGTTGGAATTGTCCCCTGCTCAGCTGCTTCTGTTACTAGCTAGTGAAGATTCCCTTAGAGCAAGAGTTGACGAAGCGATGGAACTCATTATTGCACATGGCAGGTAAAGTATCAAGGATTTAGATAAGAAATGAAAACTGATTTTGTGGCCAAAGCACTTGTACTGTGCTACATCTAACTCTGATACATGCAACTTATTCCTTGTTTTGTTCTACATATTTTTCTTTCGACGAGTGACTTGACTTTGGTTTAATCTAATCTATTTGGTTTCAGAATATGACAAGTCTTGTGAAGTTAAATCTGAAATTATTTTTTTTTCTTTTTTTTTACCTGTCAAGGGAGAATGGCGCTGATAGTATATTGGATCTTGGATTGCTAGACTCATCAGATAAAGTGCAGGTAATGAACTGTTGCACAAATTAAATTTACTTAAGATCTAGTTGTATCAGTTAATTTTAAAAACTTAAGCAACTCAAGCCTTCCTTTATCATGCAAGACAAAGTCTGTTTAATTATCTTGTGGAGTTAGCTTTTTTCTTCTTTTGAAAAAATTAAGCAATAATTACTCAAAAGTATGAAGTGTTACCATTAGGAAGTTCATGGAACAACTTAACCAATGGAACTTAAATCTTTTGGGTCTAGTAGCAAAGAGTTTGTTGATGTGTGTCAATAACTAGAAGTAAGTTTGTTAATTGCTATTCTGACTTTCAAAACAGGAAAATAGAAAGCGACATGGTTCCAGCCGCAGTGTAGTAGATATGGAATTAGATGATACAGATGATGGGGATGATAATGCACCACTTTTCTACCAACCTGGAAAACGAGGTTTTTATACACCAAGACCTGGTAAAAACACAGAAGCAAGGCTGAACTGTTTCAGGAACATTGGCAGGTACGCTACTATTAACTTTCTAGTCTGAAAAAATGTAGAAGACAAATATACAAAATACCGGGGAGGGTACCAATGATCCAAGCTGCAAAAACTTTATTACTTTTATGCTCTGTATTTCTCACCTGGAGCTAAATAGTGGGGAATTTGCACACATCAACTCGAGGTTTCTTTTCCTGTTAAATTTTTGGTTTTATCTTTTTTTTTTTTTTTTTTTACAATCTGGAAGTTTTATACTGCAGGAAATATTTTTTTGAAATTATATGTATCCATGATTTTCTTTCGGGGATTAATAGGGCTGGAAAGCTAGCTGCAGCTTGATTCTTAGAATATTTTGACTTTTTTAATGTGTGTTTCCTGAAAGATCTCCAATGTAATTTCTGTCGTACCAAAACAAACCCCAAACATTTATTTGCAGAATCCTAGGATTGTGCTTGTTGCAGAATGAACTATGTCCCATCACATTAAATAGACACGTAATCAAAGTTCTTCTTGGAAGAAAGGTAAGTTGAACATAGAAATTTGAATTTCCTTTAATTATATAAAATCTCATCTTTAAAAACTGGGGGTTTTTTTCTCCTAATGTGAATGTATTGACTAGCAGAGTTGATGTTAGAACTGTAAGAATGCCTTTAAATTTAATTTGAGAAGCATTAATTTTTTCATTTCCTAGATTTTGAACTGAGTAGATGTACTAGAAGTCAGGTATTTGACGAAGATGGAATGATTTGTTATAGATTAGCTTTTGATTCTCTTCAGAAACAGCTTACTGTTTCCCCTTTTTCTCTTCCTGAGACTGAAGGCTCGAAGAGATAGTGTTGGACAGTACTAAGTAATACCATCTCAGCTTTATGATATTTGAGAGAATTCATGGAATTGAATTGTACTTAAAATTTTGTCTTGGGTGTAGGTATGATTTAATTACCTAAACTTTTGGCAAATACGCTTCCCTACCCCTATAAACACTAGTTACGTACTGCACATTTCATGCATTAGTCAATAGCACTGTAAGTTTTGTCTGATGCAACAGAACTCAAACCAGGGTTTGTTACTGCTGATCTTTCCTTGAAAACAATGTTGATCATATAATCAGTTCTCCCACATACATATGATCTTTAATGAAAAAGGGTTAATGGCAGAAACAGATGCCTCCATATATCCCCTGATATCTTCCAAGAGATATTTCCTTCTAATTCTTTTCTTCAGGTTTTTCTTCTTGAGTATGTATTCCTTCCAGTTAAATGTTGGATACATCAAAGAATATTTTAGTTAGGTTTAGTTTAGTTACTAGATGACTTTTTCTCTCCAGGCTGATAAAGAACAAAGAAGGAAGGAGCTATAGAAAACACCAAGAAGTAGACATTCATGTTTGTTTTGAATTGTTGGAAACTGGTACACAGCTAGTGGGCCATCAGTCATTTAAATGTGTGTATATAGCAGCAGTATGTGTGTGTTTAAGCAGAGGGGAACTTTTGGCACTTTGGAGCACTGATGCAAATTGTTTCCAACTTCAATCAACCTACATCAAATCTCTATTGATCTGGGTGATGGGTAGAAGAATTTGTTTAAAAAAAAAAAAAAAAAACACTATAGACTTTCTTCAAAACCTCTATGCCCTCATAGCAGGAAAGACTTTACAGGTCTATCTTTATGTTCTGCTAATGCACTTCAGTTGAGTATTCTAATGTACCTTCAAAAGCAGGCTGAAAATAGGAGTTTGACTGCCAGTATTTCCAAGTGTTTCTATGCTTTGTTATATGGGTTACGCACCGCTGTATGCTAGCGCATAGATTAGCCACAGATCACATAATTTTGAATAGATTCTTAAACAATGGGTATGTTTCAAACATTATCTTTTTTTATAGGTGAACTGGCACGACTTTGCTTTTTTTGATCCGGTTATGTATGAAAGCCTTCGGCAACTTATCCTCGCTTCCCAGAGTACAGACGCTGACGCAGTGTTTGCAGCGATGGACTTGGCCTTTGCAATAGACCTGTGTAAGGAGGAGGGTGGTGGGCAGGTAAGCACAGCTAAACCTCTGTCTCTCTAGGTTCAGAATTTGATAGCTTATGCATGTTGTAGCGTACACATAATCCATGCTCTTCTCTGGTGGCAGAGATAATGTTTTACCCTTCCTAGATTAAAATACAGAGTTTTCTGTCCTTAGACATTGAAGCGTGGGGTTTTTTTCCTTGAAGGTGATGTAGAGCCTACCGTAAAGCCTGGATAGCATAGTCAATCCTAGGGAATCTCTAAAGCTAACCTGTAGTAGTAAATTTTGCTTGTTTTTAGAGGCATATTAAGCCATAAATCACTGTTCAGCATGCTGTGGCTGTTGCAATAATCTCATTGCCTTTTTCTTTTTTTTTTTTTGTTTGTTTTGTTTTTTAAATGGTCCTTGTTACTTTGCCATAGGTTGAACTTATTTCCAATGGTGTAAATATACCAGTCACTCCTCAGAATGTATATGAGTATGTTCGGAAATACGCAGAACACCGAATGTTGGTAGTAGCAGAACAGCCTCTACATGTAAGTCTTTGGTGGAGTGTTTTGTTTTGTTTTGTTTTTTAAAATAAAAATCTGCAAGATTTCAGTCAGTTAATTCTTTTCCTCATTATGGTATTGCTAATCAGGTTTCTTCTGAAGTCTTGACAGCTTGATTAAAAATATTTATTCTACTAACTTTTTTGTAATTGTACAGCTGTTTATGCAGTACTGTGAAGAGTACTTTGAGCAATTTCTCTTTTTTTAAAGAATGAAAGATAAATTCTTTTTTAAACTTAATCTCATTGGTTAAGCATATATGTTTGCTTCTTGAGCTCAAATGGCATGTATCCTCTTGGAATTTTTGCTTTGTATTTAGCAGCTACTTTGTACTAAGAATCTGTCACCTTTGATTTGTTTAGCCTTACTAACAAAGATTAAAAAGAAATTTCAAAATATTTACATAAGTCACCTTGAACTTCTGACTTGATTGTGTCCTTGTTTCAAAAAGGAAAAATCCGTTAAGAAACATAAAACTTTGTTCTTATTTTACTCGCCTTGCAAGAAACCTAACAATTGACTGTAAAACGATATTAAAAATAATTTATTTTTTGAAGCCCTTCTTAAATAAAAGTTGTGGAGTAAAATATTTTTGTAAAAAGTCAATGAAGGTTCTGTACTCAGAACCACTTACTCTCTGTCATGTGATACTATGTCTAAACTTGGTCACTTTTGCTGACTGTGGTTTCCTGCTGCACTTCTGAGATAGCTAGCAGGCTGCTAGACTGCCTCGCTGCAGTTTAGGTCCAAAATTCTCACAGAAAGAGCATGTTCCCAGAATTTAAGTTACTTGGTCTCCATGTCTGTGTATATTAATAGTTTGACTCTTGTTTATTGTAAGAGTTGAAAGCCGTAACATTTGTATTCATTTTGGAATTTACTAAAACAAGTGTATTCATATTCTTCCATTTTCAAAATGGAATTTCCAGTCTTTTCATGATATTACTTATTTATATAAAATATGTGTGTGTGTGTGTGTATAAGGTTTTTAAAGCAGGGTTGGCATGTGACTCTCTGAGGAAGCAAAGTAAAAGTAACATGCAAGATGCATTTTTTGTAATTCTCATCAGATTCAGTGTAGCTTAGCAAAATACCTGAACTTTTTAGCGTTAGTGCATTTGCTTCTGGTGAAATACTAGTTCAAAACATTACCGCTTTCTTTTGCAATAGCGGGTAGGGTTTAACAGATTGGTGCAGTTCTTTGTTGCAGAAAATTTACATCTCAGATGGCAGAGTTTTGAAAGAAAAGAACAACTAGGAGAATAATACATTTTGAGTGAACTGGGGTTTCACATGGAACTTTTCAGTAATGTATTTGAAGTCAGTCTGACAGTGATCTGGCTATAATGTGAATCTTGTGGCTTTTACTTAAGGCAATGAGGAAGGGTCTCCTGGATGTACTTCCAAAGAATTCATTAGAAGATTTGACAGCAGAAGATTTTAGACTTTTGGTAAATGGCTGTGGTGAAGTAAATGTGCAGATGCTAATCAGCTTTACCTCTTTCAACGATGAGTCAGGTATGAAATATCTTATTCAGAAACAGAGTTGCAGGGATAACTTAACACTGTTCTGTGTGGAGTAGAGTTACCAGCATTAAGCTTAAACTACCTCTTCAAATATGACATCAGTTCATAAGTCGCTTAAAAGTCCGACTAAAATTACTGCTGTGTTTTTTACATACCTTTGAAAATATTTACCTTCATCTGGGGTGGGCGAAAGCACATTTTCTGACTTTGTTGTCACTTGACGTTAAATTCAAGCATTGTAGTATTGGTAATATATCTTTCCTTCTGAAAGTTCTGACCTGACTTTTGAACTACAAATGTGATGGATGCAGTCTAATATTTCTTACATAATTTTTAAACTATGTTTATTGTTGTTAGGCTTTTTGGGAGGGAGGGAGTAGGAGTTGTGCTGAGGTATGTCAGAGTTAGCCTTTACATTCAAAAGTATATGTATTAGTTTTTAAAGTAGTAGTTTGTCTCCAATATCAGTACTTTATGAATGAGATTGTAGCTGAGATCTAACTTGCAGTACACGTAAACCAGATCTCTTCGTATTTATTGTCCAGAGTACCAGCTGAATTATACATTTTTTATTTCACACAGGAGAAAATGCTGAGAAGCTTTTGCAGTTCAAGCGTTGGTTTTGGTCCATAGTTGAGAAGATGAGTATGACAGAAAGACAAGATCTAGTAAGTTGTCTGTTCCCCATGGAAATGTGTAGAAAAACTGGAATCACTTTGGCATCATTACTGTTTTTAACTGTGTTTACCTGCAGAGGTTTTGTATGTGAAGAGTTCAGTTGGCAGAGCAGGGTAGTAGGGATTAGTTAGACTCTCAGTTCTGGAAATATCAGGTGTGAATCCTAGACCTTCTTGCAACTGAAAGTAACTATGGTGTATCCATATTCACAGGTCTCTATTGGAAGCACAGTTACAGTCTCTGCCCAGTCGTTTTTAAGCTGAATAACTGTGGTTAGTAACTGTTGTGGGCTAGTAGGGTTTTGAGGTTGTATTCTCTTCCTGGATCAGCTACTCTCCTGACTTCTGTGTATCCTGAGGGCGACACCTGTGTCCTCTCTGTAAGATGTCAGTAATGATACTATCTCCTTCTCAAAGCCTTTAGGAATAGCTGATAACCATGAAAGAACAGGATACTGTTCAGAGGGTTTCATTTTGGAAAACTTGCCTGTTAATTGTATTCGTTGTATGTTGCTAAAAACTACTTGCTTTTAATTCCCTGCTACTTAAGGTACTATCTTTCCTTTACAGTTTGCTAAAAGAAAACAAGGACTAATCTGAAAAGCTGAAAATCTAGAGCACATTTGTTAAGGAATATCTATGGTTACACTTTGGTAGTGACTCTGCTCTGCAAGTCAGTATTTCACACTTGAGACAATAACCCAAATATTTTCTGTTGCTGCCTTTTGTCTGTAGAAGTGCTATATTCTGTAGTCACTAACTGGTTTGTAAGAGATTTCTTTGCATTTTGTATTGATGGCAGTCACCATCTTCCCGGATGGATTTGGGGACGTTTCATTTACTGAGGATCTGTTGATACAGGATCATTGTGAGTGGTACTTTAACAGTTTTAACAGAAGTATAGAATATAACAAGCAATAGAGGAAAGGAAATAAAGGAAGCTACTACACAAGCATGTAGCATGACCACTGAGTTTCTTTGGTATATTAAACAGAATGTACTGTGATCAAACTTGCCCTGACTGTGCGGTTCCTCTGTAGGCAATACGAATTTTGGCCTTGTACAGCGAAATTTTAAACGCCGTCTTCTTTTTTCAGGTTTACTTTTGGACATCAAGTCCATCATTGCCTGCTAGTGAGGAGGGATTCCAGCCTATGCCGTCAATCACAATAAGACCACCAGATGACCAACATCTTCCTACAGCAAACACTTGCATTTCTCGCCTTTATGTCCCACTCTATTCCTCTAAGCAGATTTTGAAACAGAAATTGTTACTCGCCATTAAGACCAAGAATTTTGGTTTTGTGTAGAGTATAAAAAGTGTGTATTGCTGTGTAATATTACTAGCTAAGTTTTGTAGATTTTTCCATTTGTCTATAAAAGTTTATGAAAGTTAATGCTGTCATACCCCTGGTGGTACTTTAAAGATTTAAATGCAAACATTCCTGTACTAAATTTGTAACGTAAAGGCCTAAGGAGCACTGGCAATATCTGATTGCAACAGTTTGCTAGTCAATAACTCCTTTGCCTAACCCCAGCCAAAGATGACAGCAGAACAATATAATTTACACTGTGATTTATCTTTTTGCTGAGGGAAAATATGTAAAATGTTCTGAAAATTCACTGCTGCCTTTGTGGAAAGTGTTTCAGCAAAGGTTCTTGTATAGAGGGAGTAGGGAATTTCAAAATAAAAAATTAAGTATGTTCTGTGTTTTATTTTAACTTTTTTTATGGTGTTTAATTTGTGGTTGGCTGCAGTTGTGTATCATGTATATTGAACTTGTAAAAAGTTCCTGACAGCTCAGATCCCGGAGTTGGGATCGTTCACTTACGAAACCACTTTCACTGCAATTTTTGTCCTGATTGCATTGAACTCTGGCGCGTCAGATACCATCACTAATATTTTGCATGTAATCTGTACCCTTAGTGTTTTTGGGTTTGGGTTTTTTTGTACATATGAGGCCAATGCACAGTATTTCATAGTTCACAATCAACATTTTTGTATCCCTGTTTCAGTGAACAGACAGTCAGGAAATTGTTCCACTACCAGTTCTAACCCAACACTTGTACTACGTTATCTAACTATGTAAACTCAGCCTGGGCACTTTCTGGTAACTGTAAAATGTTTATAAGATCATGATTATTGAAGATACATTTTGGAAAACTTTAATGTTCATGAGCAGCTTAACTTCTTTTGTATCTAGCCTTTTTTTAAGTATCTTGTTACAGTTTTTTAATAAAGAAATTACAGACAAAATACAAAGTCATACTGAAGAAACAATAGTTTTTATTTATTTAGCCATTTATACTTTAGCTGACAGCATACACTAAACACAGTTGTTCATTAAAAATCTGAATTTTGGAACTGAAAAATTGACCTGCAGAAGACATTCAGCCCACATTTTACAGTTAGCAGAGAATCCTGAATGAAACGGGCCAGGCAACCCCTTCTTTTCCCAGAATTGGTTTGAAGGGAAAGTGGCTTGTTCTGAAAAATCTCAAGGTAATTAGGTTAGACTAAAATTCTCAAACTGCATTGTAGTGGGTTCTACTGTATGTTCACTTTTGAAGTGATTGGTTGCTTTGGGAAGGGCAGTCTTTGACCATAACCTAGGACTTGTTTTCCCTAATGCTTGAGAGATTTTTGAGAGCTAGGAAGTGCTTAATAAAGGAAGGAGCTACTTTTTCTGTGTCAAAACAAATTTCTGAAAGCTTAGCAGACTGAGTATTGAAGGTTAAGAGCTTTTGTGGTGATGATGTTCTCCCTCTTTCTTGCTTCTCCAACCCCATGAGTCCGTGTTAGTGATACTTTTTTTTTCTTCCTTTGTTTGGGAAGAGCTAAACTAATGTTCCATCAAAATCTAAGTGGAATTCACCTATGCCAGAACTTCACTGGGTTTTCCATTCTGTCAGCTAGTTGAGGATGACCAGAAGTTATCTACAGCTTTTTTCAAAAAAGCCTCTGATTTCGTCATTTACTTAGTTCCTAGAGGTATGGAGGACAGTTGAGATCAGAATTTCTGATCACCAGTTGCCAAATTGATGTTTTCTAAATAAGGCTGACTATTTCAGGCTTGTGTAGTTAAACTGCAAATTAATCAAGTAAACAGATGTAGAATTACTTCTGCATGTGCTGATACTTCCTCAGTCAATCATCCTAGAAAATTATAGTCTCAATGTATGAGGATTGGAGTCTATTCAGGATTTCCTGTTCTGCCCTCCAGTATAATCATAAGTTCAAACCTGTATCAGATTTTACTATGCTAGTATCAATTAAAAATAAAAAGCAGTACAGCTACACAAGTCTAGCTTACAGGTATATTAGTATAGAGAAAATTTATACCGGTATGGCTGTTCTTATATAGTAAGGAGGATAGTTGCAAAGGTACAAAACATATACCTTATGCCTGGATTTCTAACTGGTGTAATTATTTCCATTACCAAAAACGCCTCTAACTGAAATGTATAAAGGTAGTAGAAAGCGACAGAAGAAACTGTTTAGAATAGGCATCAAATCTACAGTCTGTAAAATAAAGCTCCCTCACTCACAAAGCTTTGTGAGACTTGATGTATTAAAAAGTATCCAAGGCCCTTGGATGAAAGGCCATATATAAATGTAAAGTACTGTGTATATATATATGTATTGTGTGTATATGTATATAAGTGTATGTGTATGTATAACATATAAATATATGTTATATGTATATATATTTCTGTATATAGCTTAAACATTTTTTTAAGTCCTGTAATGTATAGCTAGACAAAAATTATGCAGATAACTCACAGTAGCTCACCATATATACACACACAAGGCATTCTGATAAGTGGAAAGGGAATCTAGAATGATTTATGCTGTCGTCATTGACTTGAAATGTGTATGTAGCTTTATAAATAGCTTTTTTCCTCTGTATGGTATATTTAAACTATATCAAGATTTTAATAAGAAAAATGTTTATTAAAATCATACACCTCATCTCCCTTTGACTTAAGCCCTTCTGTTAGTTCACTTTTAAGATGTGGTAGAGAAACTAGTTAAAGGAAAATTCTGTAATGTTTACGTTTTTCTAATAGTCTAAATCCTTAGCTGTTCATAACTGCTGAAATAGGAGATAAAGGTAGCTACTAATAAAATGTTATCACCAACTACTAGACTAGTTCCTGTTCTGAATCTAGAGAGCACTGACACCCTAGCGCTAACTTCCATGGCTCCTCCTCAGCTTTGATTTCTGTTCCTTAGCTAACTGTATCCAGCACAGAAAGTAAATCGCTTGCTCCAGCTTTCATAGATTTGCAGAAATGAAACATTTTATGGACTTGTCATCAAGTGGCCTTTCCCATATGTTTGGTTTGGGAGTGACTTTTTTTCCCCTGCAGGTTAGTCATTTGGTCATTAGATAACATGCAGAGAAAAAGCTGTAAACTGGCAAGTTAGTGAATTGAAAGCAATACCTGTCTTGTACAGCAGCAGTCATTCAGGGAGGCAGAGGAAAGGAAGTTTTCCTAATCTCTTATTCTATGTTTTGTCTTTTAAAAATGTACCATTCTATATAGACCTGCTGGTTTTCAAAAGTTTACTTCCACGTCTGCATCCAGCAAGAAGTGGGTAGAGAGCAGGGTGTGAGCCAGGATTGCCTTGGCAGGTGGTGCGGGTGGGAGGAGGACACTGGTCGCCACCGGCCGCCTACCCTGTGGTTCGGCTTCTTGGGAGGCAGCCCTAATTCTTCATTATTTTTAACTCCACATGGAAGATTGTTCAGTAGATTAGTAGTAACCTCCTCAGAGGAAGCTTACTGCTGTTCTCCTTTAACTCTCTTTTTGCAGTGTCCTTGGAACCTGTGGATCGTGTCTGTGTGTGAATCTGTAAATGCCATTCTGAGCTTTTCTGTGTCTACTCTTCCCTTGCACTTCTCAGGCTTCCTCTCTCTAGGGCAAACTACAGCTACCTAGCATAGCTGCTTTGATTCCCTTTCTCATTTCAAGCTTTGTACAATTTGACCTTTTTTTTTTCTGAACTCTTCAGTTTCCCTTTGTCATACCAGGTCTGCCAAAATCCAACAAAAAATTCTGCAAGTCTGGATTAACTGGATTTCAGTGCGTGTGGCATTGGCTTATCTTGAGGTCTGAATGCCCCCACCCAGACTGAAACATGTAGGTGAATTGGTCGTGTGAAAACTTCAGTGACTTACCTTGAACTCGCAGTGCTGGAAGTTCCCACGTGGTCTGTGTGGGGAGGACACGGACAGGTGTCACGACAGGAATCTGGCCTCCATCGCAGTGTAGTCATTGCCCGGCAGGACTTCCTGGCATCGTCAGGAGCATCCATGGGTCCTTTCCTAGTTGGAAATTGCTTTTGAGGTTTTCATTTGCAGCTATTGGAGTATCTTTTAGCGTTGAGCAGATTTGCTGAACTGAGAAACATGGAGGGCTTTTAATTTTTTGTGTATCTTTTAAGGATTTTCTATGGAGTTGTCTTTAAGAGGATAACTTCATGTCTTGCTTGAAACACAAGCCTATAAGTGAGACTTCCCCCCCCTCCTTTGTCCATGGCTTTCTTAATATAAAGGCATTTTTGTCATTAAATATCACAAGTTACTATTGTAGTAAAACACCATTTAGCATAGTGAGAAGCAGTCATTTGCTCACAAGTGTTTCAGGACTGTTTCCCAAATTGGTGAAACTTTTCAGTACCCGTGTCCAGTGACAATGGCAGCTAACACGAATGTGTATGTTTGAATACTACACCCATGCAAACCTATTGGAAAATAGTTTGCCACCAGAACCTGTGCTAAGGTATCTCTGCAAGGAGACTCTTTTAAGAAAATGGTTGGTTTGGACATACTGAAATGATTCACAAATTAATTTTCATAGAGTGAACAGTTTTAAGCTGAAAAAGCAGATTTCACTTTAATTTAGAAATGAAAATTCTTCAATTTATCTGAAATGGCATTTGTCATATAAAAAATTGGTATTTATAAAGCATTTTTAAAAGACAGCTAAGTATTCCCAAAATAAGTAGCATCTTTTGGGGGGGAGGGAGGGAAGAGGCATTATAGTTCAAGCTGTGATGACTGCATTTTGGATGCCTTAGTAGATAACATGTTGGGACATACTTTGTATCAGTAACTTACTTTGCCTTGCCATGAAAAAGTACTTTGCCCAAAAAGTGGTAATTGATGCTAGCATAGATTACTTCTTTTTTTTCATTGCTTTTATTATTTTCAGAACTACTAAATACAGCGTCAACTTGCAGATTGTTCTCATTTGTGTCTTTCCAAAGGAGAACGTGGACAGGCACTTTTTTTTTTTTTAAGGATTTGGTTTGTTGTTTGTTTTTTTTTTTTTTTTAGTGGATCAGATTACTCTGTTGGACAGAGCAAGCTTTGGGAATGTTTTTGGGTCAGTCCAAGGGTGTACTACAGGTGTGTGCTGCTGCTGCACCGCCATTAATTGCAATTAGCAGAGTGAGAGCGCTGTTGTGAAGCCAGAGGCCTCACAGAAGCCAAGGCATGTTGCCTTACTGCAGGTCTTCTCCCCTCCCTGTTATGGAGTGTGCTGCACCTGTGGGAAGTGCTGCCACGCGTTCAGGACATGACAATGGACGTGATCCTGCGGATCGGAGTCCCCCCCACGTGGAAACCCCTCCACAATTCCTCACGCGTGTTGTGAGCGAGTGCAGGTATGGGGCCGTGGGGAGCGGGGCAGGACAGCTGCTGGGAGGGATGAGCACAGCTTCCACCACCCGCCAGGGAAGTTGCTCTAAACAGGACATCGTAGGTATAGCTGACTAATCTGAAATCTTGCAAAATCGTGCGTAATGCTGTACTTCATATGTATGTTTGTTCTGCTTGTAAACTCTTTTCCACAAGTGCTTTTCCATATTTCAGTATTCTGTATGTGATGTAATTAATTTATGTAAAACAAAGCTAACTGAAGTTGGTGGATTTTTGTGGAGGTGCAAGAACAACCAACTGCTGTTTTGTTAATCCTCATGGTACATTTCCTTTGCAGTATTTTTCCTTTGTGTATTAATCTTTAGGCACCATGTAAACAGATGTTTGCTGTGCATCTGTTAAAGGGCAGGTGCGACTTCCCCAAATACTTGAACTCCTTTCTATTGCGAATTATATTAATTTGTGGTAGTTAAACCTTACCAAATACTCAGTAGGACAATCTCTTATTTGGGAAATTCTGAAAGAGCAGCCAGGATAATCGGGTTAGGGGGGCTAAGACAACTGATAGGTCAATGTTATTTAATACGATCAG